TGCAGTGTGTGCTGTGACTGCCCTGCTTTCTGGGATGCCACAGCAGCTTGGTTTTGTGTCAGTTTTTCTGGGTTTGACTTTTTTTTTTTTTTTGCCATGGAGCTAGAGCTGCCCCTGGGCAGGCGATGGCCCCACGCTGCCATGCTGCAAATTCTGTTGCATCTCCATGACACCATCATGATCAGGGCTTGCCAAGCAGCGGTGAGCCCCGCTCGCCAGTCACGAGGAAGTGCACGTGACGACCACACTGCGCAGCCCCGCCGGGCTAAAATCTACTCGCGAGTAGACTACCTAATTTGTTGAGCCCTGGTCATGATGCTCCTGCCCCATCTGGACTCAGAACCCAGCCTTCAGCCCCTCGCCCAGGTGGCAGTACCACTATCCTTGCCACCGAACTTACTAGCAGACAGGCGATTTTGGAGGCTGAACACCAGTTCTGACTGGTGAAACCATCTCATCATGGAGCAGTGGGACAACCAGCATTGGCTCTGAAACTTCCATATGTGGAAGGTCACATTCCAGGAGCTGTGTGTCTGGCTCACCCCTGCTCTCCAACGGAAGGACACCCACTTGTGGCCCGCCATCCCCCTGGAGAAGTGGGTTGCTATTGCCCTGTGGTAGCTGGCCACCCCCGCCAGCTACCATTCAGTGGGACAACAGTTTGGCATGGAGAGGTCTACTGTCAGGGATGTCTTGATGGGATAAAGTTGCTCTCAGGGGACAGTCCATGGAGGAGGGGACAACAGGAAAAGGGCAGGGGAAGTGGGGGATGGGGTAGGAGTGGGAAGAGCCCTCCTGGCCTCACCCTGCCCTGGTGCGGTGGGGGTAGGAGCTCCTGGGGTCTTGGAGGGGAGGGGTGGGGGATCACATCTCAAGGGCTCATGCACCCCTTCTAATTTCCTGTTTTGTGTGTTTCCATTTATCTCTTTTTGCAGATGGTGAGGGCCATCAATTCGGAGCTGCTGCACAGGACTGTCTGCCTCGGAGACCTGGACATCGTCGTGGCCCTATTTGCAGGGCTAGGATTCCCGAACTGCGGTGGAGCGCTCGATGGGACACACATCCCGATCCGCACACTGCCCCATCGAGCAGCCCAGTACATAAACAGAAAGGGCTACTTCTCCATGGTGCTACAGGCCCTGGTTGACCATCGGGGACAGTTTACAGACATTTGCATCGTGTGGTCAGGCCCGGCACCGGCCGAAGATGATGCCCACATCTTCCATAACTCCTACTTGTACCGCTGGCTGCAGGCTGGGACATTCTTCCCGCAGCGCAACTTTGCAGTTGAGGATGTGCAGATGCCAATGTGCACTGTGGCCAATGTAGCGTAGCCCCTTATGCCCTGGTTCACGAAGCCCTACACTAGCCACCTGGAAGCCAGCAGGAAACAATTTAACTCGCACCTGAACAGGGCTCGCATGCAGGTGGAATGTGCCTTCAGGCATCTGAAGGGGAGGTTTAGGTGCCTGCTCATTCGCCTCGACACGGAGGAACGCAACATCTCCGAGGTGGTTGCTGCATGTGGTATGCACCACAACCTGGTGGAGTGGAAAGGGGAGGCGTTCCTTCCAGCGTGGGGGCTTCCATGCACCCAACTGGGTGGTGGGAGAGGTGTGGCTCACCGGAAGATATGCATGCTCACACTGTTCCTGAGGGCATGCCCTCCTAGAGAGCACTGAGTACCTGTTCTAGGGACAGGGGATGCTGATGCTCTCACTGCAAGCCCTGGTGTGGCCTGACCTCACAGGAGCCCAGAGATGTACAGGTCACCATCCTGGCCCCCTGCCCCCTCATGGCCAAGCAGCACAGAGAAGTGTCTGGCCACAGTTGGTTCCCACGGGTTGCAGAGGGGCCTAGAGCAGTCTGGCCCTCCCAGGGCCCCCAACCCATATGCCTGCACCTGGCAGCACTGTCTGCAGGAGCAGATGGTGCCTCACACACATGCGGGGGTGGAACGTCCCTCCCTGGGGTCGGACATGTATAGGGCCTCCCCCTTCCCCCCCGGCTGTGATCAGCATGACATGTCACAGTAGTGCACTATCCCGTTAACCTCCTCCCCTGCACTTTATATTGCAACTTCACAGCACCCACCTAATGTTCCCTCCCTGGTGTCCGAAGACATCTGAGATGCCTCCTGTGTCTGGGGGACTAACTCCAGGGTGAGGGTTACCATGCACCTAGTATCCTCCTCCTCGTCCAGGAGCTGCTGGTCCTCAGGGTTGTAATCCTCGAGCTGTGGCCGCTGCTGCACAGGTGTCTCCATCCCAGACTCCACAACTGTCCCTGGAGACAGGGGTTCCCCACCCCGGTTCAGCTCCTCATAGTAAGCACAGTAATGCGGTGCTTCCCCAGAGCGGGAGCTGCGATCACAGGTCCTCACATACCCCTTCTGCAGTTCCTTGACCTTGGCTCTGACTTGGTCTAGGGTGTGGGGGTGGTGGCCTTTCTTTGCTAGACCATCGGCCATTTGACCATAAATATCTGCCTGGACTGCAGGGCCTGCAGAAACTCCTCCTTGGTCCACAGCTCCAAGACGGTCTTTATCTCTGGGCCAGACCATGATGATGCCCAGCATCTGCTGCCCCTTGGATATGTCCTAGGATATGTCTCTGGAAGGACCAGAGGAGTCTCTAGGGGCTTGTGGCTGTGACATGGCTCTGTCTTGCAGTACCAGGGACAGCCATGTGGTCAGGGTCCTGCTGGGAGCTAGCTTCCTGCCACAATGCTTCTCCTGGCTGCTGGCAGGAACAATAGAGATGTTTAGTGGAGATGGAGTGTCCACCACGACTTTTTCCTGGAGGCCTTTTTTTTTCCCCCCCGAAATAAAAGGCTCCCCCGTGTCCACACACTCCTCTTTTCGAAAGATCTCTTTCAAAAAAGGTGTTATTCCTTGGAAAATGAGGCTTAGCACTGTTGAAAAAAAACTGCTGCATTCTTTCAATTTATTTTCAAAAATGCAGCGGCAGTCTAGACACAGGTGAAGTTTTCTCGAAAAAAGACCACTTTTAAAAAAACCCAACTCTATAGTCTAGACATACCCCAAAAGACCCCAGAGGCGATCCTGGCAATTATTGGCCAATAAGCCTAACTTCAACAAATTGGTAGAAACTACAGTAAAAAACAGAATTATCAGAGACAGAGGTGAACATAATTTGTTGGGGAAGAATCAACATGGTTCTAAAGGGAACTCATGTCTCAGCAATCTATAAGAATTCTTTGAGTAAGTCAGCGACCATGTGAACAAGGATGATCTAGATCAGGGCTACTCAACTTTAGAAGCCCCAAATGATACTCACAGCATATGCCGAGGGCTGCAACTTAAGTGTGATTGCATATACACGCAAATATATATGCAAACATATGCAAATAGCTTTTTTACACTGACGGGCATGAATACAAAATTTACGACAAAACTACACAACACGCAGGCCTCATTTAAGTCAGTTCTGCTGATATTAGTAAAACGCAATATCTACCGGATTTCCACCCATATGACAGCACTTTTAGTGAGCAATTGACAGTCCATGAATTTAACTACTAAAATGTATATCAACAGAAGACCATTATATTGACTACTTTTTTGTTTTGGCTTCACAGCTGTCCAGGAATTTAACTACTAAAACACATATCAACCCAAACTGTACCATAAACCCAAACCACACCGCGGGCCGCAACCAAACAGGCCATGGGCCACATGTGGCCCATGGGCCGCGTGTTGAGTAGCCCTGATCTAGATGATGATAATATACTTGGACTTTCAGAAAGCCCCTGCCACAAAAAAGAAGAACAAAGACCCAATGACATTAATAGGCAGCATGTTTAAAACAAACATAATACTTCTTCATATGATGCACAGTTAATCTTTGGAACTCATTGCCGGGGATGTTGGAAAGGACAGAAGTATAACTGGGTTCAAAACTGAATTAGGTAAGTTAATGGAGGATGGATCCATTAATGGCTAAACTTAAAAATACAACAAATGGTCTGGTAGCACTTTATAGACTAACAAAACATGTAGATGGTATCATGAGCTTTCGTGGGCACAGCCCACTTCTTCAGATGACCGGAGTTTTAATGGCGGTTAGCCAAGATGGTCAGGGATGCCACTCCAAATTCTGGGTGTCCCTAAAACTCTGACTAATAGAAGCTGGATGAGGGTCAATGGATCACTTTGTAATTGCCCTGTTCTGTTTAATCCCTCTGAAGCATCTGGAACCAGCCCCTGTTTGAAGACAGGATACTGGATTATATGAATCACTGGTCTGAAATACTATGGCCATTTTTATGTTATTCTGTTTTAAATTTCTGTCATTCATTCTGTATACTGCTGATAGTGATCTCTGCCAAAGCATATGAGATGGAAAAACTTACAACTCCTCATTTGAGGCCTGATTCTGTGAGGAATGCCTTTGTCTTTTCAAAGGCAGAATCTTTAACTCCCATTGCAGTCAGTGGGATTTGTGGATCTTACTACATCAGAGTTGATCCATACTGTTTTAAAACCTCCAGCTAAAATTCAAATTCAGAACATCATGAAAAGAAGGATGCATTAGCGTGTTAAAACACTGAGTTTGCCTAATTAGTCTTTGTGCATTAAGAAGATTGCTTGACTTGTAACTTAAAAAAAATATGAAGACAAACTTTTTTTTTTTTTTTTTTACACTATATTGGAATTCATATGCCACAATGGAAAGCAGCAGGGAATGTATTTTCTAATATTAACTCTGCATCCATCAAATTATAATGCAATTGATTTTTCCCCAGAGCATTAATTGGTTCAACTTTCCTATCTTCATATGCCTGTTAATGTTTAAAACTAAATACTGTATTGTCTCACTGCTGGCATTTTAACGACTGCTGTTTATACTTTTCATCGGTATTAAGCAAATAATTTCAAAATATGTTTCTACACATTTCTAGTATTTCAACTGTCATTTTCTAAAAGATTTTTCTATTGCTATGATGAACATGCTGAAAGAGTCAAACAAGAAGTGTACCTGTAACTGGAATATTCTGCGACACTGATAAGTGTACATCTCCTGTTCCGGGTGGCATGTCAATTACTAAATAGTCCAGCTGACCCCAGTCTACCTGAAAAAGATTGCAAATGCATTTAAAAAAAAAAAGGAATTGCACCTTCTGGAAAACAGTCTGAAAATAAACTTGGTACAATAAACACACTTAACATTTTTTAAAGGGAATCAGCAGCGGCAGCCAGCTTGTGCTGAGACAGACAAGTGGACAGGCTGCCACTGCTGTGTCTTTAAAAACGCAGAGTGACAGCACGAGGGTTGTCCTGAGACCCGGAGGGGCACAAGAGAATGAGCCGGCGCCTTTGCACGCCGTCTGCTCTCTGTACTTTTAAGAGTATAGAGCGGCAGCTGGGAGTTATGCTCAGACGCAGCCCAGGTCTTTGCACATCGGTTCTTCTCTGCCCCTTTACGAGTGCAGGGGGCTGTGTGTGACTGTGTAGTCGACAGTGCTACCTGATAAGCTGCTGCTTATCAGGTAGTTGACTATTCGACTACTCCTTCACATCCCTGAGGGGGGCCAGCCTACTAGATTTTGTGTGCTCCAGCTCCATGGTAGGGCAGCAGGGGGGCTGGAGTGCCAGCACAGGCTTCCCAATGTGAGGGGGCGGAGGGGGAACACTTAGCCTCGGAGGCTGGATCCAGGCAAGCCAGGAGCTACATCCACCCCTGGTTTAATTAAATCAGTCTGTGTTAAATGCAAAACTTGTTATAATAAACTTTAAATGTAACCCCACAGTAATGTAATTTATTTAACTAATACAAAATAAAATCCTGGTTTTGTGCATTTTTTTATACAATTCCAGTTTCCAATTATGTAGAACTTGACACAACACACAAATAAAAATGAGTGTGCTAGTAAATAAGTAGTAATCATTCACCATTTTCCTGTGAAAATTAAGCATTTAAATAGATGTAATTGGTATATAATAGCTTAAGTAAACGTGTTCAGATATAGCAGATCCTCCTGATAACCAAAAAGAATTATCAATTTGGTATAAAGGAAGTATACTCATCTTGCGGAAAAAGTCCACACTGCTTGTTTTTGCATAAAAACCCTAGCGAAAAAATGGATTGGCAGAAAATATGCAAATGATATCGCAACTCATGCAAATGAGTCCCTCATTAGCATATTTTTCACCAAGAAAACTTGTAGTGTAGATGTAGCCTTTAGGTTTATGCCAGTACAGGTTGAACCTCTCTAGCCCAGCACTCTCGGGTCCAGCAACATTCATGGTCTGACATGATTTTAGTTAGCCAGATGTCCATTTATCATGGGTGTGGACAAATTTCTTGCAGTTCCATAAAGTTTGTTTATAGCTACCAGTTCTGGCTCTCCGTTTTCTGTGCTAACATTTAACTCTAATTTATCTTTAAATGTCTTCTAAGAGCCCAGTAAGTAGTGGAAGAGTTGGTAATGCTGCTAGACAATATTTACCTCCTATGGTTTGACACAGGTCAGGTCTTGAAGGTGCCGGACTAGAGAGGTTCAACGTGTATATCCTATTTTGCTTCTGGGGAGGCTGGAATAAGCTATACCAGCTAATGTGCAGTTTTGGCAACAATAAGCTCCATCCACACTGGTAGTAGTCCTTGCCTTAACTGACGGTAAGTGAAGGCCATGTCTCAAACAAATCCTCTAGACAAGGGCAACAGCGTGGTAATATTTAGCAAGTCTGAGGTGTTTTGCATGGAACAGATTCAGTGTTTGAGAGTAGGCCAAGTGGTAGACAGCCACTGTTTTCCCTATGCTTGACCTAAGCTCAAATTTTGCTTTAGCAAATTCAAGATGTTTAACTATATGCTATAATGCTCACATCCTCTATTTCCAGTGCCCTGTAAAAAAAGAGTACTAATACATGTGTTACAGGCACGTTGAGGCAACACTCAAAAAAGACATTGTTAAGACTAAGTTGCAGAAGTGGGGGTGCAGAGAGGAATGTAGATCCCGCCCGGAAGGACAAAGCCCCCCAGTCTTGGGGTCACATGGGGGTCAGGGAGATGGTTCAGACTCTTCAAGAGGGGCATGGCCCCCCAGATGTGGGCACACATGAGAGGGGATAATGTGGACTTAATACCCCAAATCTTGCCTACTCCCTGATACCCCAAATGCCA